CCCTTCCCCCCCCCCCCACCACGGTGAGCCTCGGGCCCACTGCTAAGTCCATCAATTCACGATCGGTGATGGACTGCACCAGAGTGGGGCTAACACAGCTGCAGCTTTGGGGGAAACCACCACTTCATGGGGGAAAAGGCACAGAATGGAAGAAGCAAAGAGAGGTTCAGTGGCATTTCAAGGTAGGCCAGATTGACCACTGACTACAGCAGAAAGTTAAGCTTGCAAAAAAGGAGGTGCAAATTAAAATATCCCACTGAAGCCAATGGCGAGTCCAGGGTGTCTGCCATCCCCTCAGCCCCAGCAGTACAGTAGAGTCTAATGAACTGAGGAGCCTATGGCGGAAATCTTGCACAGATTAAGGTATGTACCAGGAGTGGGCAGAGAGGGACTATGTTGCCTGGAGAACTTGGAGCAGACAAATAAGGACTCCGATTATGGAAAATTAGCTGCAATGTACTATGTGGCTGCTAGCTTTTTGGGGGTCTTTCACTGTTTTTTTCAGTGTACGCGAATTATAACCTCAGGCTTGAAGCATAGTCTCCAAATCTTTTAAATCAACAGGGGACTAACATCATTGTTGAGAGGACACCCTACACAAAGAACTAAGTGAAAAGTGTTAAGAATGTCCTCTCAAAACACTGGGATGAGAAGATCTGGAGTTTGCAAGAAAAAACTTTTTTGGGGGAGGACACTGATGCACAATAGTTGCCACTTCTAGTGCACGTCTAGGGAGAACTGTTGCATTATTCCATAGGATGTAAGAGATCAAAGCAGGCTGTTCCTCCGTTCCTGGTCAAAGCAGGCACATACCCAAGTGCATCTTCCTTCCACAAAATATTTGCAGACGACTTTTCCTTTCTTATCTGACTGCTGGTGAGATTTCTCATGATCATTCCGCCTGTAATTCCCACCGCTACCACCTCCATCCTATGGGGATCACAAGAAAAGTATTCATTTGACTGATTTGTGAAAAACTTAAAAACAAAACAAACAAAATGTGTAAGAAAGAATAGTGGCAAGAATAAACGTCAGATAAAATTAATTTGGCACCTTAAATAGCTTCTAGGTGAACCAAAGGTGTTTTGCTGGTTTTCTGAGAGAAGCATGCCAAGCTGGAGCACCACTATCAAGAAAGCTCCAACTTAGGCCATCTGCATCGTTCTAAGCAGACACCAAGCCTACGGTGAGACATCTTGAACAGTCCCAGCTGCCAAAGATTAAGACCAGTGCCTTCAACCGAGCTCAGAGCCAATGAGAACTGAGGAGCCTGAACCATGTGCCATTTTCTGTGTCAACAAAAGTTTCTGACTCACACGTGTCAAACAGCCCAGCTCTATCTATCCTGGGAAGGGCCCAACTGACATCCCATTCCTAGCAGGCGGAAGGTGCTTGGCATCACCTGGGCACCCACAAGAGGAGTCCAGTCCCATTCTTAGTCAGCCAACCATTACCCATACCTGAGCCGACTGCTGTTTCCCGGCCTCCATCCAGTCTCAAGCCCCCGTCAGGCTGAAAGCTACAGCAAGAGAAGGGGCCCATTCCCCAGAGCATTCAAGCCAGGTCGCCTGTCACTTACCCCCATGTCGTCGTCATAGTAGTCGTCCTCCTCATTGATCCCCCCTGCTTTGCCTATGCCTGATCTGCCACGATGGCCTCGTCCCCGGCCCATACCCTTGCCTCCTCGTCCCCTAGAGCCACGGCCTCGGCCACGTCCCATGCCTGTAACGAGACCAGTCAGGTCAGTTCTTCGGCCCAGCAACAGAAGGCCAAGACTCCCCAAGAGAACCTCTCATCTGCTTTGCAGAAGCCTTGGGCAGCCGATGCTCAAACGGGAAAGGAGGCTTGACTTTTTCTCCCTGGCAGAGTCTCCATCTACATACCTCTCCCCCTTCCTTCTTTGCTTCTGCGATACTGGTTCAACTCTTTGGAATAATCATCATACTCTTCCTCACCCACGGGCTCCTCCCCTTCACAGAACTACCATGCAGAAAGAGGGGCAATTAGCAAAATGGGACCATCATAGGAAGCCAGAAGACAGGCTGAGCAAGGACAAGCCTCCATGTTTACCTCCATCTCCTCATCGTACATTTCCTCCTCCTCCTCCTCAGGGTGCTCTCCTCTTCCCCTGCCTCGGCTGCCCCTACCCATGCCTCGTCCTCTCATTCCGCCTCTTCCACGCCCACGGTAACCTCGGCCTCGACCACGGCCACCTGTTGACACAAACCAGAGAAGATGCCAAATAAAAATGGATCAGACTCCAGCATTTATTTCCACGTTGGCCTGGTTTGCATGTAACACTAAGCTATACTGGTTTTGTTTGATTGGCCTGGCTTAGTGTGGTTTGTGAACTAAGCCACTATGGTTAGTTCAAAAAAACCCTACTTAGTGCTGTGAGCAAATGCAGCAATTGAGGGCAATACTCTTAACTGGGACCACTTGTTATGGAAAAAAGCAGAAAGGCATTTGATATCTCTTCCTGGTTTTGAGAGATAGCAATGTTTTCATGCAATGTTGTACACTAGCCCCCACAAACCAATGGACACCACACATACACGTGCATGCTGTTGTTCTGAAATTCAACTCCCAATGCAAAGAAAATGTAGAGACAAAAGACATAACTTGAGAATGTTGTATAACTAGGAGCTGAGTGAATTTCTGGAACCAAAGTCAATCTGGATTTAGTTAATTTATTTATTAATGTAATTTATATAGTCGCCCATCTCATGAGAAGTGACTCTGGGGGGGTGTACAATAATCAAATAAAAGCAATACATATATAAAAAAGCAATTAAACATATAAAAAGTCAACGTTAAAAAAGATAGATTAATTAAAACTAAAATATATATACAAACCCCAGGCAGAGAGAGAATGAATACATCCACCTCAATAGTGGAGCCATCTAGACAAATCTCCGGTTCCCTGAGACCCCCAGGCCTGGTGACATAATCAGGTCTTGAGGAACTTCCAGAACATCAAAAGGGATGGAGCTAACCTAATGTTGGGGGGGGAGGAATGTTCCATAGGGCGGGTGCCACGGCAGAGAAAGCCTGCTGCCTGGGGCCCACCAAACGTAGGCCCCTGGCAGATGGTATCTGCAGTGTCCCCTCTCTGCCGGATCTAATGGGGGTGGGGTGATATAATCGGGGAGAGGTGGGCTCTCAGATAACCTGGTCCCATGCCATGAAGGGCTTTAAAAGTTAAAACCAGCACCTTGAATTGGACCTGGAAGCAAACTGGCAACCAATGCAGCTCATGGAGCAGAGGTGTGACACGTGCTCTTCTAGAAGCACTCATAACTGCCTGTGCCACTGCATTTTACACCAGCTAAAGCTCCTGAATACTCTTCAAGGACAGTCCCATGTAGAGCACATTACAACAGTCCAATCTGGAGGAGACTAGGGCCTGAGTGACCATGAGTAGAGTCTCTCGATCCAGGTTGCACATAAACCGGGGCAGACTGCCTAAATAGGCAGAGGTTGCACAATTCCTCGTGGCTGACAAAAGGAAGTAGGACCAGGGTGTTTGAGACTCCAGAACAAAAATTTGCATTCTCCTGACAATCAGTAGCTGTTGGTCATTTAAAAAGGCAGCACACACTACCCAAGCTGGCTAGGGACTGCTGAGTTTTCAGGATGGGCCTGGGTGTTTGTTCTGCAACCAAACTCACTTGCCAGGCTACACAGTTCCCAGAACCTTCCTCAATCTCTCTGCCAAAGAATTCCCATTCAGTGTCTTGGATGCCGTATAATATCTGGGCTGAAGGAAAAGCAACTGTACCTCGCCCCCTGTGCGTCCCCTCCTTTGCCCTCCGGTACTGGTTCAGCTCCTTTGCAAAGTCATCGTACTCTTCTTTCCCCATGTCTTCCTCCTCCTCCCCCTCATAGTCACAGTAGCCCTCATTCTCATATTCTTCATAGATGGGGTAGTTCTTGTTCTCCATTTTAGAATACCCCTTCTTTGGGGCACTGTGAGAGGATGAATACTGCTGATGGGACTGGAGGCAAACACACAAATGGTTATGGTTGAACAAAAGAGAGGACATAAGCTGAACTGGACCCCCAAAAGAAGAAATGGGTCTTGACCCATTTTATAAAGCAATATTTTTTAAAGCATCATTTTTACATGATGAGCAGAAGCAAATACCATTGATTTGCTACCTTTTCAGATCTGTCTCTACTGCTACTCTATCCTGGACATTTTACAGGCTTATCTACCTTGTGGCTCCCACCCTCACTCTTGGTGTGGTGAGCCACACGTATTTATGGCACTGAGCACTCACAGAGGAGTAGAGGGGGCTGTACTCTCTGTACTTCCGGTGCCCCTTTTCATTTGGGCTGAAGTCAGAATCCTCGCTGTAGTCAGAGAAATCCTCACTTGAAGAGGCATGGCGCTGCAAGAAAAGACAAATCATTTGCTCACAATCAGTCTCCTCCCCCAGTCCTGTGGGCTCTTATCCAATCCTGCCAAGGCCTAGGAGGCAGCATGGGTCCAGTGCTGCACAAGCAATTCTACCCAAGTGGAAATTCTGTATTCCTTTGATGCATTATTTCACTACTTTGCAACAGTCAGATCTCGGGCAACATGCAAAGACACTCTAACATGAAAAACGACTGAAAACGGGGGCTTCCAGAACATGGCCATTCACTAACAAATCAACTATTTTGGTTTTCCAAGGTGTACAGAAAGGCAGCCTGTGTTTTGTTCCCCTGAATGTTTCAGTCCTCTGCTACCAATTGGGGAAGAGGAGATTAGATTCTCAAGGCTTATCCCACATTACTCACTTTGTGCTTGGATTTCCTTTTTTTTTTAGATCTCCGCTTTTCCTTCTCTCTCTCTTTCCGACGCTTCCTTTTCCTACGGTGTGTCTTTTCTTCGTCTGAGTCACTATGGTGCTTCTCATTTTTGTCCTTCCTACTCTTCTCATGTGTCTCCGCAGCACCATTGGGCTCCTCACCCCCGTCATCTTCTAACTCTCCTTCTTCCAACTCACCATCCTCCCTAAAAAGATATAACAGCAACATCAACTGACTGGAAGTAGCAGGAAGGATAGCAAAGGCAAATTTTAAAACTGAAAATCACACAAATTACAAAATGTTACCATGTGCCTTTCAAAAATTAGTCTGGGCAATTCAGTGACACCCCCCCCCACCCCAAAAATCCAACCTGTTACCCAGAACAGATTCCTGTAACGTTTTCCTGAGTGAGTACAGAAACCTACCTATAAACACTGACTGGTTCATCAACTGCACTATAATTTACAAATTTGCAAGCTATAAATTATGGTGTGAATCTGCCAGTTATAAAGCAGTACAACCAAAAATTGATTTTTTTTTACTATGCAAATATGCCTGTGATTGAAAGCATCAAATCTTCACCCACTAAATTCTTTGTTACCTAAACAGAAAGTAAAATTTACTTCATGAGCAACCTTCAGCTGTCAACTACCAAATTAAGATTTAATGGAATCATTTAGTGCACAAAAATGCCTAATACTGAAACAGTTTTGATTCTGTATCTTCCAATATAAAATTTGTAACTATGCAGCAACTCCATTCCAAATCCAAAGCCAGAAAACTCATTCTTCTCACTGAAAAAGAAATGGCATCTTTATTATCTCCATGACTGACACTGGAAGAAGGAAAAATCAGAGAAGTCAGTGAGGTTATGGTCTATGAGAGCAGAAGATAAACCAGGAATTACTGAATTTTGAATAGATTAGCAAGGGTTTTGACCTTGCAACTGTTTAACGGCAGCAAGAAAGTACCTGCATTAATACGAATGGAAAGACTGAGAGATCATTTAATTTCAACTACTTGCAATAAATAGCTGGAGCCAAAATCCCAAAATTCTGAGTATACATCTGTTGATCTTGGGGTTCTGGATGAAAACAAAGTTCATTTTGCAAGCTCCCTGGCCAAAAAGTCTGGGCAGTAGGTAAATTCAGCTCACATTTACATCCCTCCACTGCAGTAGTTTACAGCTTCTTGATGTATGATTAAAGTTATCTGGATTTTATTTTTGAAAGTTAACCTAAATCCTCTGACATTTTCACAGCAGGCCCGTCTTTGGGAATACAGATGTATGTCCTACCCTGAGGTAGTGACGAAGGATTAGAAACACGCAGCAATCTTCACAGCCAGCAAGTTTTCATGTTCAAAAAAGGCCAACAGCAGTTTCTAAGCCCACCACTTTGCCCGTTGTATTTCCCACAGCAGAACATCAGAAGATTTCTCCAAAAGCGAAACTACAAGACTGACTCTCTAAGTCATGGATGGTTTTGTCAGTTGAAACTCCAGACTTGGATGATGTAAAATGTGGCAAAAGCATTATCCAATTTCTGTCTACAACAGAGCCTCTCTGTGAAGGACAGGAACACAAAGGCCCTAAGAATGCAATGATATTCAAAGTGTGTGTTCTTCACCCATTGCTCAGTCAGACCGCAGAATTCACTCGAATGGGATACTGAAACACCCAAGCACTTGAAAAACAAATTCAAGAATGGTAAGGTGATTAGTGTTTGCTGATCATGATGACTATATTATGCTTCCAGGCTCAGAGGTAAGAAGAAAGATGGAAGGGACTACAAGTTCATGCATTGCTGTTGACTGTGAGAATTTAGTGCTGGATTTCTTAGGCCTTTGGTTTATGGTTTTTCATAGGGTCTTACTATGATCATGGTGTATTGGATTTATAAAGCTGCCAAATCAAAAGATTTAGCATACAGAGTTAAGATCATAACAGTACACAACCAAGTACTACTCAGTAGTAACACACTGAGAAAATAGACAAACAAGAGAATTCCAACCACCCATCATCAATCAAGTGGAATCACAAAACACTCAAGTCTCTGGCCTGTTTGAAAATCCAAGTTTTTAAAGCTTTTCTAAAGGGCAGCAGAGTTGAGGCAAAACAAACCTCAGGGGGTTGCAGAGGGCAGGAGTGAGTAACAGAGTAATTTCAATAGAATTTAGTCTGAGGTTAATGCAGAGGGCTACAGCCTTAAATGCACACAGCTGGAAAGAACAATGACTTCAGCTCTTACCTGTGCAATAACTTACATAGATATTATCTCATGAAAGCCAAGCCTTCCATCATTTCTGACAGCTATCAAAATGGAATACACAGTTCACCTTCCCTTAAGGTCTCAGAGCAGAGGGATACACACATTATGTTATGCCATGCCCCCATGTACAGGGTTTTATATAACTTCTACTGTCCCTGGGGGCCCTAGGGGATTTCTCTATTTTTAGCCTTTACTGTAATTTAAAATTTACAGCTCTTGTTCCTTTTTTGCCTCCCACTAGTGTTAAAATCTCATGTCCTGCCTCATGTTTCTTTTGCCTGCTGCAGACACAATTGATTGGTGTGATACCCTTATTGCAATTATGGCGTGGATATAGAAATTTGCAGAGGTAACTGTCAACCATCAATTAATAACCTAGTCCATTCGGCAGGGAAAAACGCACAAGACTTCCAAAATAACCAGATGTAATTGATCGGTGTACAAAATTCACTGGTGGGCAAAAAAGGAATAAGAACGAAACTTACAAATTAAATACAATTACTATATTAGATCAACATTTAGTTAAACTCATTAAAAACAATGGGACATCAGTTACTTATGATGACTAATTTAAGGCCCGGTTCTTTTAATGTACTTACTCAAATTATGATTAAGTCTGGATCCAACCCAACATCTGTTCAGTTTTCCAGTTAGGAATTAGGAGAGCTTAGATAGATAATATTTATTTTGGTCAACGACCATATAATTGGAAGAGTTTAAATCCAGCACACCTGGACAGAATGTATCAGGGCAAAGGGAGGATGGGTGGGTTGGGATCATCATCATCATCATCATCATCATCATCATCATCATAATTTATATGCTGCCTGACTCCCAGTGACTCAAGATACTTGACATATAATGAGAAAAAAAATGGGGGGGGGCAACTGTTGTGGATGGACAGAGCGTTTGTCTGAGCTATGAATGAAAAGGAACGTATATAGGAAATGGATCTAATCACCAAAGAGATTTACCAGCAAGCAGGTATCTGCAGAAAGACAGTAAGGAAGGCAAAAGTATAAAAGAAATTTGATCTTGCAAAAGAAACCAAAGCAACATAAAGGGATTCTTTTAGCTTTGTCAGTAGAAAATGGAAGGTGTGGGCCACCTGCTGGAGAAGATGTGTTAGCCCTTCAGGGTAGACCAGACTACTGTAGAAAACCAATGCCATGCAAGTCAGTACTACTTTTATTGTAAAGCTTCAGTAACAGAATCTTGCAAGTCTGAATGTGCTTCCTCCCTCTGTCCCTCCCTTTATCTTCATGTGAACTAAGGAATGGCTTGTGTGAGATGTTTTCTTACATTACATTCTTGGCCTGGGCTCAGGACCCTTTTATCTGACTGTTGCCTTGGTAGCAACTCTTCCTCCTGTCCTTTGAGGCCATTCCCTCTGCCCTCTACAAGATGGTAAGACAGGACCAGGTGTTGGGACAGGGAGAGGGCAATGCTCCTCAACATCTCCCTTCTTTGGGCTTCTCACAAAAGGAAACCCGTGCCATAACAATATGCAAAACGGCCCAAAAAAAAACTGACCGAAGGCGGGAGAAGAAACCCAAAGTAAGAAAAGAGATGATCACAGAGCACCTGGCTATCATGAACAACT